CTCCACGCCCCTCGGAGCCCCCACGATGGAGGGGGTGGGAGTGGGGAGCCAGGGCACGGGGTGGGACCCACAGTGCGGGCAGGGCCCTGGGGCCTCTGGCCTGGGCGGGTCCATCCCACAGCCCCACCTCAGCCAGACGCCCCCTTCCCGGCTGGCCCACACCAAGGCCTTGTTGCCCGGCTCCAGAGGCCCAGCAAAACAGCCTGCAGGGGACCGCGGAGAACCAAGCTCACAGTGACCCAGCTCCAGCTCACGCCCCCTTCCCCCAGGCTCCCAGCACCCTGGACGGACAGGATGGTGCAGCAGACACGGGATGGGCCACATCTGGCGCCATCCCCTGTGGCCACCGGCAGGCTGGCTTCCTGTGAACAAGTTACTCAGTCTCTCTGAAGCCCCACCTCGCATCTCTAGATCAGGGCGCAAGGGTGCTCTGGAGTGGGGTCTTGTTGTCCAGTACTGATTGAACCCAGGGCTTCCCACTGACCTCCATCCTCAGCCCTTTCGTATTTTTCTTTGGAGTTAGTTAGGGTTACTAAATTTCCCAGGCTGGGCAGGAACTTGCAATCTTCCTGCCTCAGCCTCCCAGAGTGCTGGCCCTGTGCCATCACACCTAGGTTGGTTGGTTTGTTTGTTTGTTTCTTTCTTTTTCTTTTTCCGGTGCCTCACACGTGCTAGGCAAACACACTACTACTGAACTACATCCTCAGGACTTTATATTTTCTTTTGAGAAAGGATTTTGCTAAACTGCCTAGGCTGGCCTTGAACTTGCCATGCTCCTGCCTCAGCCTCCCAAGGGGCTAGGTGTATAGAAAAGTCCCTGTGCCACCGCGCTCAGCTGGGCTCTGGAGATGTGGACAGAGAATCTGGCAGCTCAGAGCAGACAGAGACACCACAGAGCTGGGCTAGGAGTTCACCCCTCCCTCTGGCATGGATCCCCCTCTGACCCAGGCCACCTCCCCACACCCCAGGCAGGGACACCCAGGGCCCAGGCCTCCCCAGGACCCCCCACCCTCCCCACACCTCCTGTCCCAGGAGGAAGGCTGAGTCTGCTTTTCTTTTCCCTAAAGCAAAATGCAGCTGTCCCTGCTGAAGCTTCAGCTTGAGGTGCCGAACAGGGGGCTGGCGGCCCCCACAGAGGGCTGAGGACAGAGCCCAGCAGCCGCCCCTCCAGCATCGCAGGCTGTTGGCCACGGGTGCCCCCCGGGACGATTTATTCCGAGACAGGGTCTCCCTGTGTAGAACAGGCTGGCCTCGAATTCACGGCGATCCTCCTGCCTCTGCCTTCTGAGAGCTGGGATGACGGGCGTGTCACCAGCCCAGCTGACCCCTCTTACTAACCCTGACAGTCCCATCCCCCCAGACACCCCGACCACTGCTCGCCCTCCAGCCAGGCAGCTCGAAGCAGAGAAGCCTCCCTGTGCTCAGCCCTGTGCCCTGCCAGCTTCTTGGGGGTCTATACCCTGCTCCCTGCAATCCAGGCTCCCCCACACCTGCCTCTTCCCGGCCCTCACCTCTGTCCCCCACCCAACAGCTGCCCGCATCCCCCACGTGGTCAACTCCACCTCCCTCACTAGCTCCCCCCACTCTAGGCTGGGGGCGCAAAGGTCAGCAAAGCCCCACTTTCTTGGAGGGATGGCTCCTTCTTTGCCCTTCTTGAGGCTCCACCAGCAGAGCTTCCCCAGGGAAGGGGAGTCCACACTTTCCTGGCCCCAGCAAAGCCTAGGAAGGGCGGTCACCTGCAGGTAAGGCAGCACTGGTTTCCCATGGGACCTGGGTTCCAGGAGCCTGCACTCCGGTCTCCTTCCTGTCTGGCCTCCGTTTCCCTGTGTGAAAAGGGAAGTGGCTCACAGCAGAGCTCCATGGGCCGAGGGCTGCGCTAGGGGGACAGAGGGGAGGGAAACGCAGCGCCTGCCACACACACCATGAGGGTTGCTGAGTCGGGACGCTTCCCGCTGCTGTGCAGGAAAGAGCCAGGCCTGGGGTGCACAGCTTGGGGAGGCTGCTCTGAGCCCTGCAAATCCCGAATCCAACTCCTTCTTCGTATCATTTACTTATTAATCGTGGTGTCAGGGTTTGGACCAGGACATCACACGTGCCAGACAAGTGCTCTGCCACTGAGCCACACCTCCAGCGCTGTTATAAAATTTTATTTTAAAAATAAAGTAAAATAAAATTTTAGTTTGATAAAAGTTCTCACTAAATTGCCCAGGCCAGCTTGAAACTTTCAAATCTCCTGCCTCAGTTTCCTCATCTGACAGACGGGGGAAGACTAATCATCCCAAGCTGGGTGCAGAGGTGCACGCCTGGATCTCAGCTACTCAGGAGGCTGAGGCAGGAGGATCGCCATGAGTTTGAGACCAGCCTATCTCAAAAAGAGTTTTTTTGTTTTTTTACATAAAAGATGAGGCCACGTGGAGCACAGTGAGTTCAAGGCACTTCCAGCCCCCACACGGCGCCAGAACCTAGCATCACCAGGAGGGGGCACCGCGATCCAGGTAGAGAGCAGGGTTCAGCACATGTCCCAGTGCGCTGACTGAGGCAGCTGCTATTAATAAGGTATTCCAGCAGGGTGCTGGGGCCAGTGAGGTGGGCACCCCACAGGCTGGGCCTCCTCCCTCCTGCCCATCCCCTCCCAGGCGGCAGTGCTGTCTCCAGCTCTGGCCCTTTAAGAGCCAAGGGTGAAGCCATGGTACTGCCCTGCCGGTTTGGGGCCCAGAAGAGACTCACTCCATCCTTTCCCAGTCCTGGGGTTAGAGCAGAAGCCAGGGCTGGCTGGGCACAAGGGTGGGCTGTCACCAGGGGCCCAAGGAGGCAAGAGGTAAATTGGATGTGGGGTGTAGTAGTACACACCTATAATCCCAGCCCTTGGGAGGCTGAGGCAGGAGGATTGCCTCTGGGTCTATTGGAGCTGGGGATGGGCACAGCCTGTGCCCCCCACAACCACTGTCCACCTCCTTCCCACCACCTCCTGACCACAGGGGTCACCACCATGTCCCAGTCCTCAGAGTGGCCTGTCTTGGTACCTGCACACACGGATCACGCCGTGCCTTCTGTCTGAAATACCCAGCTTCCCCCAAAACCCTCCTGCCTCATCCTTTTCCTGCCTTCTTATCTCCCACTCCTCCCTGGGTCGGGCTGCAGTGGCTGGCAAACAAAATTCAAGGGCATCCTAGTAAACCGCCATTCCGGAAAAAACAATGGCTGAGTCGTGGGGAAATCCTGGCCCCTGTACCTGCAGGTGTCAGCTGAGATGTCCCTCGAGGGAAACCCCTCCAGGGTTCGCCCCAGAATCCCAGCATCCCACAGCCCTGGGCCCCACCCTGCACGTCCGAGGCAGCTGACTGCAGGGACGCGTGGTGTGGGGCAGGGATGCGTGCGGTCCCCAGCCCACAGGGTAGCGTCACAGCCACAGGGCCTCCTCCTGGACGCCCCAGGCTTGGCACCGAGCACAGAGGGACCGAGGCAGGGTCGGCGGCCCCGGAGTTAATTAAATCACGCACATCGGAGGCCCGAGAGGCCTGGCCACAGGGAACGTGGGGACGGCAGAGGTGTGAGTGGCCTGGGGAGCCGCGGAGGCCCTGAAGGAGTCGGATTCGGGTGCTGAAGGGCAGGCGGGCAGCAGGCGGGGCAGGCGCTGAGCCCCAGCACAGGCGCCATGGGTTTGGGAACAGAGAGAAAGCGCTGCTTTTCCCCCACAGTTCCAAAAATAGCCGACCGCCTGCCTGGAACCAACAGAGCCAAGGCTCCTACAGAGCAGGCGCAGGGCGGGGAGGAGGGCAGCTGCCTGGGGCTGAGGCCTCGTCCTGG